TTAGAACGGTGATATTCTTCTGAGACAACGGATCACCTGGTTTGCTAATGATGGCTTCGGCAATAAAAGATGAAAAGTCAACTTTTCTCGATCCCTCGAGATCGGTAGACTCGGAAGAAACTGGATGGTGGCGAGAACAGTCAAAATGTGACTGCACATAATGTGTGGAGACTTGACTACCTTCTTGCGGACACTTAGGGTTAGAGTCCTTTTGAATTCTAGAGTTCATAGTTGAACTGGCTGCTTGAGGGGATAGAGCATAGTGCGCGGAAGTACGCACCACCTCTCTGTTATATTGACGACGTTTGTAACAGTCCTTGACATGGTGACCAGGCCTTTTGCAGAACTGGCATACTGCTCGACGATTGAGAGTTGATCTTCGTTTCTCTCTGGACTGTGATGCCTTCAAATGTTGGCCAACAGGATGATTGCTGCCAAAAAGGGGAAGCACGGGGTTGAGGCGGTTTCCTGACACTGGTGGTTTCTTATGCACCAACATATATGTGTCAGCCGACTCAGCAGCCTTCTGGATGTCAGTTATCTTGTTATCCAGAATGTGTAGTCGTATCTCTTCAGGCAGGGACGATAGGAATTCTTCCCTTAGGATAAGTGACCTGAGTTTCTCAAACTCAGAAACTTCCTCAGAGTGTAGCCACCTTGAGAATATTTTCTCCTTTTCAAAGAGAAATTCCACATATGATTGTGTGGTTAACTTGCGGAGTGTTCGGAATTTTGTCCGATAGGCCTCGGGCGTCAGTGCGTAGGCCTTCAAAATGGCAGTCTTGACCAAACTATAGTTATTTTGAACGTCGTGAGAGAGTGCCTGGTATGTTTTTGCAGCTTTCCCAGTAAGGACAGAGCTCAATAAAGCAGTAATGGAAGTTTCAGGCCATTCACATGTCTTCGCTAAACTCTCAAACGAGTTAAAGAAAACGACCAAATCTGTTTCATCAAATTTAGGAACTAATTTCCCAAATTTGGCAATCACTTGCCCTACCGACAACTTTTTTGGATCTACCGGAGAAGTGACATCACTAACTTGACCAAACTCTAATTCCAACCTCCTCTTATCTAAAGCAATTTTGGCCTCTAACTCCTGTTTCTCTAGAGCACTTTTAGTTTCAAACTCCTTTTCTTTTAAAGCCTTCTCTAAAGCAACTTTCTCCTTCTCTAAAGCAATTCTAGCTTCTAATTCTACCTTCTCTAGAGTTTTCTCCTCGCGGAGCAACACACCAGCCAACAAACTTTCATCAAATACTCCTTCATTAATGAAATGAACAACAATTTTATCTCTCAACACCTCTGACTTCTGCGTAACAGAATAATCCAATTTCAATTCTTTAACAAGACTAATCAACACTTTTCTACTCAACTTTTCTACACCTTCAAAAGTAGGATTAGCCAAAAAAGACTCCATAACCCTAACTTGAAAATCACAACAAGCCTAGATCCTTTAAATTAACACACCGTGTTGGGCCGTGTACTTGACCTCTAAATGTAGGACGACACGTCTGCTTATTTGACCTAGATAACTCTAGCCTGAGCGCGCGTTGTAAGACCACGGCGCTACACTAGATATAAAAACAACTAGACCCAACTAAACTTAGGGCTTAACTGATATAACCAACAACTGGAACGACAGATTAAATCTCGGCGAGACCCCACTTTGTAACGTTAACCTATCTATCAGCCAAATAGAAGGAGAACGTCCCCGGATTCTTTTTTCGGGGTCATATGCAAATGCCTTACGGCCTAAGTGGATGAACACTTAACACAACGACACACTAGGGCTCGAAATTAATGTCTAGGGAAGCTAGTGATACAATTGTAATTAACACTCATCCAATCTACATACGACCTTTTAATCAGCGAACACAGATGTGGTAGAACACAAAGATGAACTAGATAAAATATTTAATCTATAAAGTATCAAAAACCCAACTTACAAAATGCAGGAAAAAAACACTATCACAGATTTCTACACTGTCTAAAGAACAGCTACAGGCCACACAACACTACTGTAGCTTCAAGACTTACTTAGCGACAAGTAATATTAAACTAGAAGACTAAATCAACTGAAGAAAGCAAGGCACACACAGGTCTTAAGTACTCTCACGTTCAAATGGTCAGGGTCTATAGCCGGACAATATGGACGGCTGCCTGATTAAGGTAAAACAGCCTCGTAGACTGCCAGGTCAAGATAAACTGCCTCGTGTTGCGAGTTTGCAGGGCAATTAAAGACTTCTGTGACAGGGGAGGTTATCCTCAACTCATGTCACCATTGGTTGGGATAATCATCTGATCAGAATCATTCAATCAGATTTTAATGGAAAATTTCTATGTCTCAAACACCTTGATAAGTCAGTGGAAAAACCCCAGGTGTTACACCATCATTCCATATAAGGAATTATACAATGTCAAAATAAAAATGACTCGACCTAAGTAGGTCACAATCCATCCATCCATCCATCCATCCATCCATCCATCCATCCATCCATCCATCCATCCATCCATCCATCCATCCATCCATCCATCCATCCATCCATCCATCCATCCATCCATCCATCCATCCATCCATCCATCCATCCATCCATCCAATCATCCATCCATCCAATCATCCATCCATCCATCCATCCATCCATCCATCCATCCATCCATCCATCCATCCATCCATCCATCCATCCATCCATCCATCCATCCGTCCATCCGTCCATCCGTCCATCCGTCCATCCGTTCATCCGTCCATCCGTCCATCCGTCCATCCGTCCATCCGTCCATCCGTCCATCCGTCCATCCGTCCATCCGTCCATCCGTCCATCCGTCCATCCGTCCATCCGTCCATCCGTCCATCCGTCCATCCGTCCATCCGTCCATCCGTCCGTCCGTCCGTTCGTCCGTCCGTCCGTCCGTCCGTCCGTCCGTCCATCCGTCCGTCCGTCCATCCATCCGTCCACACGTCCATCCATCCATCCATCCATCCGTCCATCCATTCGTCCGTCCATCCGTCCACACGTCCATCCATCCATCCGTCCATCTATCCTTCAGCCATTATTAATATCCGCCCCTCTATCACATCACAGGCGTGATGCTGGATGGATGTATTTTTTCATCAGGGGACACTCAAATATTTTATGACCTACATTAAATTGGTATCAAACATTCCCTTGTCTATTCGACACGGCGTTTGTATTTCTGCTACATTGCCACCGATATAAATATTTATGATCATAAATACAATTTATACATCTTCTACATATTTATGAGATATAAACCATGTTAGCATTCGCTGAGTTATAAATAAAGATACACGCAGGAGCGTACAAGTGTCATGGAGGCTGCCCTGATTAACTTACACGTTCAAATCTAGTGGATTCTGCCTAGCCAAACAGCTATACAGAGTCCGGATTAACTTAAACATTCAAATCCAGTGGATTCTGCCTAGCCAAATAGATAAACAGAGCCCGGATTAACTTACACGTTCAAATCTAGTGGATTCTGCCTAGCCAAACAGCTATACAGAGTCCGGATTAACTTAAACACTCAAATCCAGTGGATTCTGCCTATACAAAATACATAGCCGATGAACACAGGAGTGTATACATGTAGGCTAATCATAGTAATATTTAAAATTAGCCATTTATAATTAATTGCTACTTATTAACTCATGCGGGAAATAAGCAATGTAAGTTATATAGGCCTTCTCTACAGGCAATTAACGACACAATTCTGCGCGATATACGGCAAGTGAAGCAGAGTATACCATTGAATAAGAGCACTTTCGCTGATATACAAATGGAAGTGACTATGTTACAAGACGTCAAATGAAATAAGTTGAGGGACGCCATATTAGCCAGTAGCGTTTATAAAATGTGGTGACGCCCAACAGACCAGGACTGACGAACCCCCCCCCCCCCCTCCGCAACTCATCGTTTATCTGAAGAAAACCACCTCAACTAAATGAACTGCATGACAATAAACCAAACGCCTAAGTTTCGACAACAAATTAATAACTTCTCCGAAAACTTGTCGAACCGCCCAACATCGAAACGAATTGCTCCAAACACAAATTACGAGCTCACCCCAACACCAGCAGTTAATTTCTCGCGCTCTGATATTCGTGGGCCCGCTCCTGGCGGTGCATAAAAGTGTCCACAGTTCGATAACCTATGGAGATTGTCTGGCCGATATTTTCACGTCACTGATCTCCCCGTGTCCACGGGCTCGTTAGACTACACGAGAAACTTTCAGATGGGGCAGGTCAAGCGAACATTTCGCTTCCTTCAGTTGATTGTTGCGCAATATAATATAGTTTTATATATATATATATATAATATATATATATATATATATATATATATATATATATATATATATATATATATATATATATATATATATATATATATATATATATATATATATATATATATATATATATATATATATATATATATATATATATATATATGCCTTATATATAGACGTATATATGTATTTATATATTTATGTATATACTTATGTATATATATATATATATATATATATATATATATATATATATATATATATATATATATATATATATATATATATATATATATATATATGTGTGTGTGTGTGTGTGTGTGTAGGTGTGTGCAAGTATGCATTTGTATGTATACGTCCATCTCTCTCTCTCTCTCTCTCTCTCTCTCTCTCTCTCTATATATATATATATATATATATATATATATATATATATATATATATATATATATATATATATATACATACATATATACACATACCCATTTATGTTTTCGTATTACTCTTTCTATACATCATTATGTAGGCCTACTTGTTTCCATCTGTATATATATGCGTGTATGTGTCTATGCGCTTTTTTGTCTGTGTGTTTTTTCTGTTTTTCTATGTGTCTCTCTGTATGTTATTTATGTCCATGCTATTTCTCTCTGTGTATGTCTATGTGGATGTATCACACTATCACCTACCTGTTGCAGGGCAAATATTTCGTCGTCCAAGATTTTAATGACGTCAATGACGTCCTCCAGACGTACAGGACGTTAAGCGCCCCCAATTTCTACCAAGCCTCGTCCGACCAGCCGGTCTTCGCATCCGGCCAGCCCACAGTGAACGGGCTGAACAAGATACTGAGCCACATTGTGACGGACGGCCATTCAGTAAGTTGTAGGTGTGTGTTCACGGCCAACTTATCACTGTGTAGGCCTGTTTACGTACACATCTTTACGCTTGCCATCGGATTTATGTCTTGTTGTTTTAATTGAAGTGGTAGCGTGGTAGAATATTTCTAGCAGACAATCATAAAACATGTAATAACGAACAAATATGTGTATTTTATAATATATATATATATATATATATATATATATATATATATATATATATATATATATATACTTATCAAGGTTGTTTACAATGTTATAATCATTCTCTTTTTTTTTAAGCAATGAAAAACAAAATTTCTGACCAATCTTGAAATCAAAACTCATTAAGATCATATATTTTGCTAGAGTAATATAATTCATAAAGACATGTAATAAGAATTTGTCCAGGATATTTCCAAATTTTGCTATTCTCTATTGTGCTAATATCTGTCTAAATACAGTACAAAGTTGTCTTATTATGATCAAAACTCAATACAGCAGTACATGACGAACAAGAAGCTTTTATGATTTCAGTCATACAAATATTTTGACACACGACCAAAATAAACTGAAATTAAAATTCTTCTTTCGTCGCCAGTTTAATTTTTCTATAGTACTTCGCTAAACGTCAATCATTTTAAAAGTACAAAACTTTTAGAGACAGTCTTTATAACCTGGACGGTAGTAGTAAATTAATCAATTAAATAATTAAGCAGTTAATTGACTATCAAACGTGTTCTCAATTGATTAAATAATAGTATTTATTGCGATAGAACTTTGTAAATAGGGGACTGTAAAATGGAAATTAAATGACTAGTAACGCCGATCAACGAATGGACCACATAATCTATCGTGGAGGTTGACCACATATCCTATCAAGGAGATGGACCACATATTGTATGTAAATAATGGACTACATATTTTATTAGACCTAATATTATATCGAGATGGACCATACCTGGTATCTAACTGACGGACATCATATTCTATCAAGAAGATGGACCACATATTCTATTAAGACGTTAGACCTCATAGTATATCGAGAAGATGTACCGTATCTGGTATCTGATGAAGCACATCTAGTATGCAGAAGATGGACACAGACTATTAACCACCATCCACTGGTCAACCACACTATGACTCCAGCCACCAGGTCCCCCCCCCCCTCACCAGTGAATGCCACATCCCCGTAGACCACTTCTACGGGTGGTACATAGCCGCAGAGTTGGACCCCATTTAATCATAAAGTCTCCCCAGGGGGCGCTTGGGGTAGTTCTCGCTGTAAGTATCGGTCTACAACTGTCTGTCACATCACAGGGAATCTCACACGAAAGGACTATATGGGGGCCGTGAACAGGGTTTATGTTGCTATGTATTTCATTTTTTATTAGAGGGACTCAAATAGTTATATATATATATATATATATATATATATATGTATATATATATATATATATATATATATATATATATATATATATATATATATATATATATATATAAAAGTAGATATACTTGGGAACAGGGCATTCACCCCCCCCCCGACAATACCCCCTGGAGTAATTACCCCCTGTCCATTACCCCCTGTCCATTACCGCCCCCCCCCCCCCGGACATCGCTTAAGGTACAGCTAGAGGGTTAGGGCTAGGGTTAGGGTTAATATTAGGATTAGGGTTAGTGTTATGGTCCGGGTTAGGGTCAGGGCTTGGATTAGGGTTTGTCCTATGGTCAAGGCTAGGCTTAAACCAATGTCTAGAGTTGACTTTGGTTTTGTGTTAAGTTTTAGGCTGAGGTGAATGCTTAGGTTTTTGTCTTTTTCTTAAAGTTAGGATTAAGATAATATAGAGGTATAGAAATTAAGTTAGAGTTAAGATTCTAACCTGGGGGGGGGGGGGTAATTCCCCCGGGGGGAGTAATTGACAGGGGGTAATTGCTACGGGAGGGGGGTACATACTGGGGGTAATTGACGAGGGAGTAACATCCTGTAGCTATAAACTTAAATACCTAAATGTGTACCTAGTTTTTGGACAGCTTAATGACAACCGCGGCGCTTAAAATACTTTCTTTGCAAACTAAGACAGACATGATAGTAATGTTTTCAGCTAGATTTAATTGACGACAACATATATTTTTACAAAAAAAAAATGTCTATATTCCTATTGTCAGTAAGTAAATTGAAACCTCTCTGAGAATGAATCCCAAAAAAAAAAAAATCTATTCTTGAGACATAAGTACTTTTAGCCGTAGCTATCTCCTTCGTGTGCCTGAGTACCAAAAACTAATAAACCAATGGCTTTTTTTTGTCTGCTGATTACGACATCCATTCAATGTGGGGATAAAACTTACAGCCGAATATTGATTCCAGCATTGAAGAGTACGTGACAACCATTGACCGCCATTTTTTTGTGTGAATGAACAGACGCTACTCGGTTTTTTTTTAACATCGTGAGTTATGGTTCTTTGGTCTTCGATTGGTACAAGGACCACTTGGGTTGTATTGGGAGAACGACAAGGGGAAATCAGTTAATTAAATAAAAACGGAAGCTACTCTCATGTGACGGAAAAATGTTGTTATAATTTTAGGTTAACACATTTTAAGCTTTAACATTATATAGCAAAGTGAAACTATAACAGGACATTGTGACCGACCACTTCATTATCTGGTAACATCAACATCCGGTGTGTGCTGGGGTATTGTGACTGACTACAACTGGTAACATCCGGTGTGTGTTGGGGTATTGTGACTGACCATCACTGGTAACATCAACATCCGGTGTGTTGGGGTATTGTGACTGACTACAACTGGTAACATCAACATCCGGTGTGTGTGTGTGTGTTGGGGTATTGTGACTGACCACCCTAGGTAACATCAACATCCGATGTGTGTTGTGGTATTGTGACTGACCACCCCTGGTAACATCAAGATCCGGTGTGCTGGGGTTATGTGACTGACCACCCTAGGTAACATCAACATCCGGTGTTTGCTAGGGTATTGTGACAGACCACCCCTGGTAACATCAACATCCGGTGTTTGCTGTGGTATTGTGACTGACCATTTCATTACCTGGTAACATCCACATCCGGTGTGTTTGGGTATTGTCACTAACCACCCCTGGTAACATTCGGTGTGCGGGTGTATTGTGATTGACCACCCCTAGTTACATCAACATCCGGTGCGCTGGGGTATTGTGACTGACCACCAGTGGAACATCCGGTGTGTTTGGGTATTGTCACTAACCACCCCTGTAACATCAACATCCGGTGTTCACTAAGTTAAAACCTAAGCCCGTGCTGACCTCACCTAATGAAAAGATCGATGGTGCCAGCCAAGAATGAAGTTAAACATCAATCTGGAATTTAAATAAAACGCAGCCTCATTCCATCTAAGTGGTTCTGTGATGGAAGGCCGATTTGTTTGTGGGAGAAAACGGTCGCGATAGGTTTCAGTTGTTGAGGCACGGGGAGTTTGTTTTGTTAAAACTATGCCACAGGACATAGAGACTAAGTTTTGTTAGGACTATGTCACAGGACATAGAGACTAAGTTTTGTTAGGACTATGCCCAAGTCACAGGACATAGAGATTAAGTTACAAGAACACTCATGGTAAACTCCCTATGTTCACGGATCCACGAAGACGATATAATAGTTAGGCCCATACCTAACTCACACGGCATGCAGTCTAAGAATTCGTTTGGACAATATCTTAGTCACAAGAACATGCGAGATACAATCACATGGGTTAATTTATCTACCTAACTTAACCTCTCTTTTAGCTTTTTTAAGGGGGGGGGGGGGAAAGTGTGTGTGGGTGTGTGTGGGGGGGGGGGGGGGGGGGGGGTGAGAAGAACGATTAAACCCCTTGGTTAGGAGTCACGTGAAATGTTTCTTAATTTCATGGATTTTTTTTAACACAAGGAAAAAAAAAAGAAAACCTCTGTAACAGCGGGTGATTATTTTCAGAAGATGAATTCGTCTCGAGAATTGGGCATCGCTAAATAATTGAGTGAGTAGAGAAAGTTAAGCCCAGTTTATCTTCTAGCTCACTCACGGAGAATTTTTTTTTCACTTTAAAGATCAGCTAAAAAAAAATGTTAAATGCCGGAAAAACTTGCTCGAACGTTATTTCTAATAGAAGACAGCGGTACCCGAGACAAGGGGTATCTGTTTCTCCACGGCCATAAACACCAAACAGAGTAGGCACTAGTGGTGTCATTACACCATTCGAAAAATGTTCGTTTAACTACGGTCACGATGCTAGCTTTAAAGCCCGCACCTATAGATAGTTTTGTAGCGTCAGTCTACAGTGCCACCTTAACCTACAAAATATATGTAGATGAACAAAAGTCCCGCATAGTTCCACCTGTCAGTAACTCTCAATTTTTCAATTCCATATATATATATATATATATATATATATATATATATATATATATATATATATATATATATATATATATATATATATATATATATATATATATATTGCAACAATTTTCTAATATTCCATTTTCGGACAGTGTTAGTAAGAATTTTAAAGACCGGTGAGTGTTGTATAAAAAACAAATTTTAAATATGACTACCCCCCACCCCTTCAACCCCCCCCCCCACTATTACCCCCCACCACCTCCACAGGATGTCCTGCTGTTGAACCTGCGCAGTGAGCCCGTCCTGTTCCAGCGTGTGGACGACGACTACGTGCCCTACTCGGTCCGGCACCAGGGGCTGCTGCACAACATGGTGATGATGGGAGACACCAAGGACAACTGTGACCACATCGAGTCTTGCATTCGTAAAGAGGTCGGTCAAGGATGGTGTGGTGGGGTCGTTTAGTCGGTCAATGATGGTGTGGTGGGGTCGTTAAGTCGGTCAATGATGGTGTGGTGGGGTCGTTTAGTCGGTCAGTGATGGTGTGGTGGGGTCCTTTAATCGGTCAAGGATGGTGTGGTGGGGTCGTTAAGTCGGTCAAGGATGGTGTGGTGGGGTCGTTTAGTCGGTCAAGAATGGTGTGGTGTGATCCTTTAGTCGGTCAGTGATGGTGTGGTGGAGTCGTTTAGTCGGTCAAGGATGGTGTGGTGGGGTCATTTAGTCGGTCAAGGATGGTGTGGTGGGGTCATTTAGTCGGTCAGTGATGGTGTGGTGGGGTCATTTAGTCGGTCAAGGATGGTGTGTTGGGGTCCTTTAATAGGTCAAGGATGTTGTGGTGGGGTCATTTAATTGTAAAGAGGTCGGTCAAAGATAATGTGGACAAAACTGTATTAATACTTTTAAGAAGTTGTGAGGGTTAATTTAATTGAAACTTTAAATTATGATGGGTTCTTTCATTAAAACTTTAAAAAACGGTGGGGGTCCTTGAGTTAACAATTAAAGAAATGGTTGGTCTTGTATTTAAACCTTTTTAAAAATTGTGGGATCCTTTAATGAAAGCTTTTAGAAATATTTAGATCTTTCATTTGAAACATATTTTGTAAATTGGCGGGATTCTCGGTCAAACTAGTTTAAATAATTTGACAATGAAACCGCAAGAAATTTAAGAATAAGATGATTCAATTAAAAAAAAACTTTTAAGGGTACATTTTAGCTTACAAATGTACTGTACTAACAAAATGAAGCTTTATAAAACAGTATAATTGAATTACTCTAAAGAATTTTCAGTCACAAGGTTTTGACCCAATTTTCGTATGTCGGATCTTTTCATTTCACTTACGTGTGGAGAAGCTCGCATTTTATCCATGTGTTTAGCTGGTTTCACTGGCTGGTATGGAGGACAAGTTCGCATTTTACCAGTGTTTTTCAGTTATACTATGGAGTACGAGTTTGCATTTTACCTATGTTTTTAGCTGTTTTCACTGACTAGCATGAAGCAAGAATTCGCATTTTACCGATTTTTTTCAGTTAAAGTATGGAGGACGAGTTCGCATTTCACCTCTGTTTTTCAGCTGTACTATGTAGAACGAGTTCGCATTTTACCTCTGTTTTTCAGCTGGTTTCCCTGGCTGGCATGGAGGATGAGTTCACCTTTTACTTCTACGACAACCTGGACAAGCTGCAGCAGGAGCCCCACATGAGGAAGGTGGAGTTCGAGGAGGATATCCTGCTGTCTGCGGAGGTTTACGCCAGGGAATCTTTCTCCAACCAGTCTCTAAAGTCAGTTGCCTCTCAGTTTATTTTTTTAATCCTTCTCCAATCAGTCTCTCAAGTCAGTTGCCTCTCAGTTTATTTTTTTAATACTTCTCCAACCAGTCTCTCAAGTCAGTTGCCTCTCAGTTTATTTTTTAATCCTTCTTCAACCAGTCTCTTCAACAAGTCAGTTGTCTCTCAGTTTATTTTTAGAGTTCTTATCAAACCTTGCCCGTGCACAGAGGCGTAGCGATGGGGGGCGGGAGGTGCGGACCGCACCGGGTGACACCATTTAGGGGGGTGACACCAAGGCAAAAAATAGCAAAATATATAGAGAAATATTTGAGGTCGGGGTCGTAAATCGAAAGTTTGAGGGGGGGGGGGGGGGTGCAAATCGAAAGTTTGACGGGGGGTGCAAATCGAAAGTTTGACTGGGGTGAGGGGGTGCCTCTGGGGGGGGGGTGACACCATTAAGTGCCGCACCGGGTGACACCCGACCTCGCTACGCCACTGCCCGTGCATTTATGGTAAATATTTACTAGAAACAACCTTTTGTTTAATTTATTTTAAGAAAAGTTATGTAATAAAAAAAAATTTACTAGCAGCTACTAATTGTTTAAACAATTAAAAAATGTCTAAAGATTTTTTCCCCCTGCATCAAAGGTAAAAATGTAATTTCAGCAACCTATTGTTTTATTTATTTTCAGAAACGTTCTTTAATAAATGTTCCCTGTACATTATCGGAAAAATTTACTAGTAACAAACATGTTTAATTACAATTTCTTTAAAAATTGAAAAAGAACCAACTTAACCATAACCTACTCCACATCAAAAGTTGGATGGTATAAAGTTACCGAGACTGCGGAATCCTATATTTAGCCTACCGCTTAATTAGTTTTTTTCTCTCTTTGAACCCTAAAATATGAATAGCATGTGATATTCCTAACAGATATGACAGGCTGTGTTTGCCAGAGATGGGAATTCCAACGGAAGAACTTGTGGATCAATTTCTCTCCCATTTTCGGGTAATGACTGGTTTTTGTTGAGTACATGATTTACTGCCGACCACACGCCACCTCTTGTCGGGAGCCCAGTTGTCGAAGGTCTGCGTGGAGCATGAACTGCATAGAGCGCTGACGTCAGGGAGGTGTGGCGTGACGGATGCCGCAGACCTCATTAAACGGAAATAGAATGGATCCGATGGGCGGGATCTAGAATTAAAATCACAAACTACACCATCAATTCTGTATAATGGCACAACCAATATGGAATAGATTGAATCACGTGTTTTAGTTCCAGGGTCACCATTTTATTTGTAACCGGTTTCGATTTCATTTTTTTGTTTTGTTTTTTTAGACTAGTTCAGATGGAGTAGACTTCATATGTTTGTGTTTCCCTTTATACAAGTGAATTGTATAGCAGACATGGAGCATGTCTCATCTTTTACACAACACAATTTTACTTAGAAAATAATCAAAAGGGCTAATTAAAATTCTGTCGAAATCCTTGCATGACTAGTATTCGAACCCAGAACTCTAATGCTAGAGGTTTTTGCTGGAATTGTTTGTGTGCGTGTGAATTTTTTATGGTCAATTAAACGAGCTGTTTTTTATGCTGACATTTTGTTATTGCCAGGAATGTCCCTTTGTTTAGATCTTCTGTTTTTGTCATTGCCAGGAATGTCTTTTATTTTGAACTTCTGTTCTTATCATTGCCAGGAATGTCCCTAAAATTTAGACCTTCTGTTTTTGTCATTGCCAGGAATGTCCCTAGTATTTAGACCTTCTATTTTTTATCATTGCCAGGAATGTCCCTCCTATCTCGATAGCAACCGTCCAGACTTCCCTGCCATCCATTTGATCTCTCACTCGGGAGGTCGAAGGTCAGCGGTGATGATGGTGATGTGCTGCCTGCTTTATGCCCACAAGAAGGGCACACTGTTGACCGAATGGTACATGTCAACTTTATACTGACCTATGATTTACCATCCATCCATTGTATTTCCTCTCTACTAATCTATCATATTTTTATAAATACATCCAAATCCAACTAATCCATCCAAGTCCCATTAATCCATCACATTCCCATTAATGTACTACATTCAAACTAATCCTCCATTTTCACACTAATCCCGCTAATCCATTCCAAACCCGCTAATCCCTTATAGTCCGACTCATCCATCCCAAACCTACTAATGAAAACAATGCCTCATGTCCTATAGTAACTACAGCATTAACGAGAAGAACCCCAACTATAAGGAGGGGGAGTACAAGGCGGTGGAGCGGCTGGTGGCTCACCTGAAGGATGGGAACCTCATCAAACAACAGGTGGGTAGGTTTATCGAACAGGTGGGTAGGTTTATCGAACAGGTGGGTAGGTTTATCGAACAGGTGGGTAGGTTTATCGAACACGTGGATAGGTTTATCGAACAGGTGAGTAGGTTTATCGAACAGGTGGGTAGGTTTATCGAACAGGTGGGTAGGTTTTTTTAAACAGGTGGGTAGGTTTATCGAAAAGGTGAGTAGGTTTATTGAACAGTTCGGTAGGTTTATCGAATAGGTTGGTAGGTTTATCAAACATCAGGTGGGTAGGTTTATTGAACAGTTCGGTAGGTTTATCGAACAGGTTGGTAGGTTTATCAAACATCAGGTGGGTAGGTTTATCAAACAGGTGGGTAGGTTTATCGAACCGGTGGGTAGGTTTATCGAACAGGTGGGTAGGTTTAGCAAACAGGTGGGTAGGTATATCATCAGGTGGGTAGGTTTATCAAACAGGTGGGTAGATTTATCAAACAGGTGGGTAGGTTTAGCAAACAGGTGGGTAGGTATATCATCAGGTGGGTAGGTTTATCAAACAGGTGGGTAGATTTATCAAACAGGTGGGTAGGTTTATAAAACGGGTGGGTAGGTTTATCAAATAGATGGGTAGTTTTATTAAACAGGTGGATGAACATTATTAAACAACTTGTAATAAAAAATAACATAGCTCACTAACAGAAACAATCATTATATTTACAAGAACAATCATTAAATTCCCTGACACAATCATTACAATAAGCAGCTAGATAAGCCAAGGAAATCTCAAATGATTTTTTTAAATTTAATTAATTTAAATTGACCTTTTAAAAAAATAGATACATCTTTCCTTTTAACTGACAAATACCAATGTCGATTATCGACAGCTTCGTCCTGTAGTAAAATTTGGCAACAAATTTGGCTTTTCAAAATGGAAATAAAAATTGGAAAAAAAAAAACGGTTGTTGGAATCTTGCCCACACGCGGCCTGAGTTTCTTCCAGGCAACTCGTCAGGGAAGGGGGAGGGGAGAGGGGGAAGGGTCCGTCCCCCCCACCCCAAACAACAACTACTATCCCCCTCCCCCTTAACGAAATATAATTTAAATAGAATAAGTATACTTTGTTCAGTGTCCTGTCCTCCCCCAGAAATTTCAAGCCCCCCCCCCCCTCAGAATAAAAAAGAAACACAGAAGAACGCGGCAGGTTATTTTACAACCAGCACAGCCTCCTGCCATCATTACTTTATCCCCTTTGTTAGCACTGGACACACCAACACGTGTTTTTGAAAGAAGGAATCGATACACCGACATCGGTGATCAACTCACCAGAAGTCGATTTGAAATCAAATTGTTTGACGAACGTTTCCGCTGGTTTGATTTCGCCTCCACGCTCCAGCTACGACCAATCAGAGCCACTTCCGGTCGACTAATGATTAATCTTCTATTCTCAGGGCTTGGTCTTGTATTGATTGCCATTTCATTAATGTACTATCCCCTCTCTCACCTCACCCCCCCCCCCCCCCAAAAAAAAAAAAAAAAAAAAAAACTATTCGACAGCTAGGCTACCTCATTTAAAAAAAATTAAAATAGTTAGAATTTCGATAGATTTTTTTAAATGATTAATTTAGTTAGACGTCACGAAAGATGTAAATTGGTTTAAAATACCAGGCACGGATTGGACGATATTTTAAAATATCTCGCGATTTAATTCTCAACTTGACGGGACATTTTGACCCAGGTTGACTAGAGAATACACCGACCAGATTCTGACTTGGGTTGACTCACTGTAGCAGTGACGTCAACTTCAGACTACTTGTTCTAAGTGTTCTACATTTCACAGGCAACAACAATTACATTCGTGTGATTAGTCTTTTGAATGCATATTGCGCTTAATATATCTTTAATTATATAATCTAATTTGAATAGGGTTCGTTTCCGAATAGCAATTGTCGGCATTTTATGTCGAAATAGGGCAGAAATAACTTCAACTAAAGTCTCACTTATGTAGGCCTATATAGTGGAGGATTAGCGTCTTTTAAATTTAAGACGTGTTAGGTTTTCAACTAAAAGAGTTCAGAATAGGTATGAAACTCAGTTCAGGTGTGTTCTATAACAGCGGGATTATATATATATATATATATATATATATATATATATATATATATATATATATATATATATATATATATATATATATATATATATATATATATATGTGTGTGTGTGTGTGTGTGTGTATGTATGTATAAAGTAAATAAATAAATACAAAATAAAAAAAATTAAAAAAAAATAAAAACATAAATATATTCTGCTATTTTTAGCCCTATTAGTGCTACCCTATCTGTATTTGAATGAAAGCAGCTGGGGTTAAGAAAAAATGGCCACTGCCTCACAAACAGCCCTGTGTAGCATCAACTGGCATCCTGAGATAACAGACCATGAGGGGGAGGGGTGGAGGTGATCGTGTCAAGTTCAAATCAACAAAGTTTTAACTTCCGTTTCCATTTTAATTAGCAGCAGATCCGGTTAGCTCGATCTGGTTCCAGTTCCTGTTAGAAAATTTTCAACCGTTCTCCTGTTAGAAACTTGCCAACCGTTCTCCTGTTAGAAACATGCCAAACGTTTTCATGATAGAAACTTGCCAACCACTCTCCTGTTAGAAACTTGCCAACCACTCTCCTGATAGAAACTTGCCAACAACTTCCAATATAGAAACTTGCCAACCACTCTCCTGTTAGAAACTTGCCAACCACTCTCCTGATAGAAACTTGCCAACAACTTCCCATATAGAAACTTGCCAACAACTTCCCATATAGATACTTGCTAACCACTGCCCTGTTAGAAATCTGCCAACCACTCTCTTGCCAGAAACTTATCAACCAAACGCCAACCAAAATTTTACCCACCGACGCTAGCGACCAATCAAATTCATTCCACTCACAACAGCAGATTAGTAAACGCTTTTCTGCCAACCCGATTAAAAGCCAACTATCCTAAATGTATGTAGGCTCCAGCATTTCTTCCAGACGTTTTTGTTCGAGAGGGCACTTGAAATTTTGTTTTTGGAGGGGGGGGGGAGGCTGACTCTGTTAAAAGTATATATTTTCTATATAAATTCCATTTCGTTCGGGTGGGGGGTGGCAAGAAGAGCTGCCTGGAAGAAACACTGGTAGGCTCTAAATTCACAGATTGAATGTGTGATTGTCCTGACGAGTTACAACAATCATTTTACAACACATAGATTTCACGGGGCTGGTGGGGGACTATCAATACAATGTGATAGATGAACGAACATTATTCTGGTATGAGGAAGGTCGTTAATCTGTTGTTGTTGTTGTTGTTGTCAGGTTGACGTCATCATTGACCAGTGCTCCCAGGTCATTAACCTTAGGACATGTATTGCTGACCACAAGAGACAGCTGGAGAGGACAACGTTTATCTCACCACAAAATGCAGCAGTAAGTCTCGTTTCATCTCGGCTAGATATACATGTTTTTATCTCTTCATAGGGGTCGGCGTGGTCGAGTCGGTGAAGATCACGGTTGCTAAACCGAAAAGTCTCGAGTTCGAACCCTCGAGCAGATGAGGCTCTTTATCTGGGGACAGCCACTCTTCTAGGAGAGACAGCACCAAAATCAAACAACTGCTGCCTTGTAGTTTGTTCTTGGTTAGACAAAAGCTATGGAAGCAAATCCAAAAAGAAAAGCAGGCTGAAATCGGAGTAAACGGCCTCAATGGCATAACTAGTTGACACGTATCCTTAATTTGTGTTGAGGGCGTGGTCGAGTCGGCAAAAAAGCTCATGGTTGATAAATTCGAAAAAGTCTCGAGTTCAAACCCTCTGGCAGATAAGCCTCGATCTCTTCCAACACTAAAAAATTAAGAACGAAGAAGAAGAAGAATCTCTCCATAAAACATGTTTTCATGTATTCAAATGGATTATATATTTTCGCAACAACTTATAATTTTGACCAATTTAAGTATCAAATGTTAAAATGCATAATCGGACATGCCGTACCAACAAATGTTAAAACACAAATTGAAATTTTCATTAAGGTCATAAGTTAAAAGCACAAATAGACTTATGTCAATTACAGTAAAACCTAACGTTAAACATAATCTACTTCTACCCTAACCTATCTTTAAACATGAACTACTACTACCGTAACCTAACTTTAAACATAATCTACTTCTACCCTAACCTATCTTTAAACATAAACTTGTGGTCACTTAACCTAATTATAAACATCAACTTTTGCTACACTAACCTAACTTTAAACATGAACCACTGCTACCCTAAACTAACGTTAAGTATATATTATTTGTGCCCTAACACAACTTTAAACATCACCTACTGGTGCCCTAACCTAACTTTAAATTTAAACATCAACTATTGGTGCCCAATCAAACTGTGTTAACCTAACCTAACTTTAAAAACATCAACTACTGGTGCCCTTACCTGACCCTTATGTCGATGGCTCCACCAGAATACCGAGGTGATAGACCGCTTGTACGCCGGATGTCTGAGTGCTCTAGAGACTTACTGCTTCCTGATTTCCTTCAACGCTTATCTCAGAGATCAGGTAAGACATACGACCTGTTCTGGCCACTGTCACATCTCATTTATACTTTCTTTTCGTTCCTGGAATAAAGTCAGTCCGTTATAGATATACTGTAATGTTGTTTTACAAATACAACGACAGGGACGCAACTAGCTATTTACGGGCTCATACACTTGACTCTCAAATGATCAAGTTAGAAATCGTTGCATTCAGAAATTATGCCCATGCCAAAATATTATCAAAATTATTATATATTTGTTTCTTTTTCGCTTATTAAAATCAAACATGCGAAAAGTTTTATTCATTATTTAAAATCGAACTGATATAACTTTAAGAAGAAAATAAATATTTTAGTTAAAATTTAGGCCTATTTTACATTCTTAGATTAGTTTCACGAACTATCAAATTGTGTTTACAAAATGTCTGATCTTATATTGTAGATGCCCAACAATTTAAGCTGGAGCTACAACAAATGGCTGCACAGAAATCCTCTGGTCATCCGTCTGTGTAGCCAGCTCGACTTCTCGGAGTTACGCTCTCCGCCATCTTTGTTGTCGTCGTATCAAAGGTATTTGGTGAGTACATGAAAGATTTTTGTAAGGTATTTGGTGAGTACATGGACGGTTTTTGTAAGGTATTTGGTGAGTACATGACGGTTTTTGTAAGGTATTTGGTGAGTACATGGACGATTTTTGTAAGGTATTTGGTGAGTACATGAAAGGTTTTTGTAAGGTATTTGGTGAGTACATGGACGGTTTTTGTAAGGTATTTGGTGAGTACATGACGGTTTTTGTAAGGTATTTGGTGAGTACATGACGGTTTTTGTAAGGTATTTGGTGAGTACATGGACGGTATTTGTAAGGAATTTGGTGAGTACATGGAAGGTTTTTGTTTGGTATTTGGTGAGTACATGGACGGTATTTGTAAGGAATTTGGTGAGTACATTAAAAGTTTTTGTTAGGTATTTGGTGATTAAATTGTAAGGTTTTTGTAGGGTAGGCCTATTTGGTGAGTACATTAAAAGTTTTTGTTAGGTATTTGGTGAGTACATGGAATGTTTTTGTTGTCTTATCCAAGGTATGTGTTGCGCAACTGGAAGTGTAACATTATTTCTAGACTAGAAGGTCCAATTTTTTTTATTCTTACCATAAACAAAAACATAGACATTTAAATAGTTTCTAATTCTAATTTTTAATCTCTATACAACGTTTAGCACGATAAACCCTGTAGCCTATTTTCTGACGGTACTTATAAGTACCACTCATATAAACGCTTGTATGATTTTTAATTTAAACTCTATTTGTACCAGGTCTATAATGACTAACCTCTATTTGTACCAGGTCTATGATGACTAACCTCTATTTGTACCAGGTCTATGACTAACCTCTATTTGTACCAGGTCTATGACTAACCTCTATTTGTACCAGGTCTATGATGACTAACCTCTATTTGTACCAGGTCTATGATGACTAACCTCTATTTGTACCAGGTCTATGATGACTAACCTCTATTTGTACCAGGTCTATAATGACTAACCTCTATTTGTACCAGGTCTATGACTAACCTCTATTTGTACCAGGTCTATGATGACTAACCTCTATTTGTACCAGGTCTATGATGACTAACCTCTATTTGTACCAGGTCTATGACTAACCTCTATTTGTACCAGGTCTATGACTAACCTCTATTTGTACCAGGTCTATGATGACTAACCTCTATTTGTACCAGGTCTATAATGACTAACCTCTATTTGTACCCGGTCTATACTGACTAACCTCTATTTGTACCAGGTCTATAATGACTAACCTCTATTTGTACCAGGTCTATAATGACTAAACTATTTGTACCAGGTCTATAATGACTAAACTATTTGTACCAGGTCTATAATGACTAACCTCTATTTGTACCAGGTCTATAATGACTAACCTCTATTTGTACCCGGTCTATGACTAACCTCTATTTGTACCAGGTCTATAATGACTAAACTATTTGTACCAGGTCTATAATGACTAAACTATTTGTACCAGGTCTATAATGACTAACCTCTATTTGTACCAGGTCTATAATGACTAACCTCTATTTGTACCAGGTCTATGACTAACTTCTATTTGTACCAGGTCTATGACGACTACATCGGCCTTGATGTTCTCAGCTCACAAATGGACGTCAAAGTCTCCAACTTCCGACGGTTAATGGGTCTTCCAATTTACGGCATGGCACAGCCAACAAGAAATGTAGGTTGTTGAGTGCAGATGGACACCAGGCGCGATACATATACTTACGTATATATATATATATATATATATATATATATATATATATATATATATATATATATATATATATATATATATATATATATATATATATACATTTATATACACGTATACATACGTATATATATATACGTATATATATATATATATATATATATATATATATATATATATATATATATATATATATATATATATATATATGTGTGTGTGTGTGTGTCTGTGTGTCTGTGTAAATGTTAATTCAATATAGATAGGCATATATATATATATATATATATATATATATATATATATATATATATATATATATATATATATATATATATATATATATATATATATATATAAACTATTGGTGCCCTAACCTAACTTTAAACATAAACTATTGGTGCTTATATTTAGAAATCGTAACATTTATATTATATATATATATATATATATATATATATATATATATATATATATATATATATATATATATATATATATATATATATATATATATATATATACTAATATGCGTATGTACATTTATACATATATATTTAGGCATATAAAGCCTATTTTCAATAAAACCCATTGCACACAATGTGTTTATATATTCACCATCGCCTTGTCCAGGGTCTGTCTAAAGTGGTCCATCATCTCCTTCAACACAAACAAGGCTACACCAACGTCATCGTGGTCAACTTACGGTCAGACTACGTCCTCGAGTGTGATGACGTCACCTACTCTGTCCGTGACGCCCACTCCCTCTTTGAACCAATCAGCTCTCAGTGTTTGTCCGGTAAAGACCTTGAGGTAGTCACGTGTTTGTTGATGTGTCCTTGAGAAAGACTTAGCGTAGGACGCTTACAATAGAAACAAATCGACTGAAAAATTGAATTACGAAATTGATAAAAATATTCAAACAAGGGAAATAATCTTTCTTATTTTTTTTTTTTTTAGGAATCGGAACAAAAAATAAAAAAAGAAATCAAGTCTAAAAAAAGATGGAAGGTAAATTTTTTTTAGTGTGGTAATCTTTGGTGTGTTTTGTTTTGTTTAGGTTAGAAATGTGCCATCACTTTTGTCTTGTTTATCTTTAAACACACTAAAACAACTTCAAGTATATTTTTTTTTACAAATCATGGAAGAAGGTTCCATAATGGGGTTATAGTTCGCTCGTAAACAAGTAAAGCATCGTCTTACGGTTTACATTTTTTAACACTGTACTACATTGTACTTAGATGGTTTTAGTCTCGATAAATCGATATTTAATTGTCACAAAACATAATTTGTTTGTACAAGATCTATGTTGACCTCTCCAGACCTAATCTAACAAACCTAAAACCCAGACCTAATCTAACAAACCTAAAACCCAGACCTAATCTAACAAACCTAAAACCCAGACCTAATCTAACAAACCTAAAACCCAGACCTAATCTAACAAACCTAAAACCCAGACCTAATCTAACAAACCTAAAACCCAGACCTAATCTAACAAACCTAAAACCCAGACCTAATCCACCAAACCTAAAACCCAGACCTAATCCACCAAACCTAAATCTCAGACCTAATCCACCAAATTTACTCCCACAGGTGTACAAGGAGACCACTGACCCGCCCATAGAGAAGGAACTGACCAGCATCTTCACCCCAGAGGAACTGTATGAGCAGCAGAGGTTGTCGACCCTTGACCTCCACTACCGCAGACTTCCGTTAGAATACGATCACGGCCTGCACGAAGAGGTAAGACCAATACAATTACAACATTCGTTGTGACCAATACAATTACAACATTCGTCAGACCAACAATTTTACAACAACAATAGTCAGACCAATACAATTACAACATTCGTCAGACCAATACAATTACAACATTCGTCAGACCAATACAATTACAACATTCGTCAGGCCATCAATTTTACAACAACATTCGTCAGACCAATACAATTACAACATTCGTCAGACCAATACAATTACAACATTCGTCAGACCAATACAATTACAACATTCGTCAGGCCATCAATTTTACAACAACATTCGTCAGACCAATACAATTACAACATTCGTCAGACCAATACAATTACAACATTCGTCAGACCAATACAATTACAACATTCGTCAGGCCATCAATTTTACAACAACATTCGTCAGACCAATACAATTACAACATTCGTCAGACCAATACAATTACAACATTCGTCAGGCCATCAATTTTACAACAACATTCGTCAGACCAATACAATTACAACATTCGTCAGGCCAATACAATTACAACATTCGTCAGACCAATACAATTACAACATTCGTCAGGCCATCAATTTTTCAACAACATTCGTCAGACCAATACAATTACAACATTCGTCAGACCAATACAATTACAACATTCGTCAGACCAATACAATTACAACATTCGTCAGACCAATACAAGTACAACAACATTCGTCAGACCAATACAATTACAACATTCGTCAGACCAATACAATTACAACATTCGTCAGACCAATACAAGTACAACAACATTCGTCAGACCAATACAATTACAACATTCGTCAGACCAATACAATTACAACATTCGTCAGACCAATACAAGTACAACAACATTCGTCAGACCAATACAATTACAACATTCGTCAGACCAATACAATTACAACATTCGTCAGACCAATACAAGTACAACAACATTCGTCAGACCAATACAATTACAACATTCGTCAGACCAATACAATTACAACATTCGTCAGACCAATACAAGTACAACAACATTCGTCAGACCAATACAATTACAACATTCGTCAGACCAATACAATTACAACATTCGTCAGACCAATACAAGTACAACAACATTTGTCAGACCAACACAATTACAACATTTTTGAGATCCTACATCTTGTGTCCACTCGCAATTAGGAAATTTAAAACATGACCTGGGACGATGATTTGCAATTCTCTGTAGACTATATCAAGTATAGTTCACCTGATTCATTATCAAAACAAATATCGCATTTGACACTGAATATTTCATGCTCTGTCATAATCAAGACGGTTGTCATGATCTGTGAAAACGATTAATGAATTAATTAATTAACGATTAATAGACGCGCGCTTCCTTCTGATGTAACCTTTCTGTATTTACAGCAACCCATTCTGTATATCGTTGCCTCATTAAAGCGTTAAAAAGCCAATCTATATTGCTATTTCCGTAACAAGAACTGCTCCACCCCACCCCCACCCCCCCCCCCCCCCCCCACACACACACCCTACCTCAGGGAAATCATTTTGAATTACTGATTTATTATCCGGATTTGATCTCTCAGTTCTTACACTCACCATCAAAGTAATTCTAGCTACAGCTACCGTTTCATTTAATCTTTTATGAATGTGAAAAAGAAAAACGAGAGTGGGGGTGCTAAAAAAATTGTGACATTTTTTACCACCCACGTCACGCACGCGCGTGTTAAATTTTAAAACTTACCAAACCATGATTTGTCAATGTAGCTATGCAGCTTGTTAGAAAGTGTCATCTAGTAATACTGATTTATAGTTGTTTTTTTTTACTATAAAACGGGTATGCTAAATTTATACTTAGTTTATTTACTGTAAAACGGCGAGCCAAATTTATAGTCTTAGTTTATTTACTGTAAAACAGAAAAAATTAACATTAAAGTCCTATTGCAAAAATAAATCAAGCGAGCACTTCGTCTATAGTTAGATTCCTTTATCAGGTAAATATCTAGACTAACGATGTATACTTTACATCACCTTTGAACTTGAGCAGCCTGTTACTATATAAACCCACCTGGTTGTTCCACCCAGGAGTTTGACGCCATCCAGAGTCTGATCCTGGGCTTTATGAGGGCGTCCGGCTCGTGGACGGAGAGCTCACACGCGTTTGTGTTTCACTGTCGCACGGGAAAGTCAAGGACGTCGCTCACCATGGCCGTGGCAGGGCTGTTGTTTTATCACATGACGGTGAGTAGCTGTCACGTGACTGTGTTGTTGTCACGTGACCGTGTTCAGATGTTGTCACGTGATTGTGAGTAGCTGTCACGTGACTGTTGTTGTTGTCACGTGACTGTAAGTTGTTGTCACGTGACTGTGTTCAGTTGTTGACACGTGACTGTGTGCAAGTGTTGTCACGTGACTGTGTCAAGATGTTGTCACGTGACTGTAAGTTGTTGTCACGTGACAGTAAGTCGTTTTACGTGACTGTAAGTTGTTCTCACGTGACTGTAAGTTGTTGTCACATGATTGTAAGTTGTTCTCACGTGACTATAAGTTGTTGTCACGTGACTGGGTTCAGTTGTTGTCACGTGACTGTAAGTTGTCGTCACGTGACTGTGTCCAGTAGTTGTCACGTGACTGTGTCCAGTTGTTGTCACGTGACTGTGTCCAGTTGTTGTCACATGACTGTGTTCAGTTGTTGTCACGTGACTGTAAGTTGTCGTCACGTGACTGTAAGTTGTTGTCACGTGACTGTAAGTTGTTCTCACGTGACTGTAAGTTGTTGTCACATGATTGTAAGTTGTTCTCGCGTGACTATAAGTTGTTGTCACGTGACTGGGTTCAGTTGTTGTCACGTGACTGTAAGTTGTCGTCACGTGACTGTGTCCAGTAGTTGTCACGTGACTGTGTCCAGTTGTTGTCACGTGACTGTGTCCAGTTGTTGTCACATGACTGTGTTCAGTTGTTGTCACGTGACTGTAAGTTGTTGTCACGTGACTGTAAGTTGTTGTCACGTGACTGTAAGTTGTTCTCACGTGATTGTGTGCAACTGTTTGACACTTTGACCATTCCATATCATGAAATTAACATAAACCGTTGTTTATTAGGGTTTTCCCTACGGAGCCAACCCTGATGAACAAGAGCGAGTTAGCTGCCCTAATGCCAGATACACTAAAGGAGAATATTTGGTACGTGCTTTTGTTTGATTTCTGGTACACTATATTTCTCTGGTATTATTACTAAATTACTATCGCCGCTGGACTATTGCTACAGAAAAATTGAGAAAGACGTTTCGTCAAATTTTAATATAATTTTTTTTTTAAGTATTTTAAAATTATTTTGTTTTTTTTTATTTTACAATTGCATGTTGAATTTAAAAAAAAAACTACTAACGTAATCGATTATAAGGGAGAAACAAAGAATTAAGTTTTAAATAATAATTTGGGTAGATAGTGATTGTTTTAACAATAAAAATCGGGTATCACAAAAACAGTATTAATTTACCAGCGTTATGTACCTTGATTTGAATTATCTCCCTCTATGTGTGAGGGCACTTATTTCCCATGCTATTCGTGGAACCTGTGAATTGTTTCTCTTGTGGTGCACTTGACATGAGTACCTTCCAGGTGCACCGGTCACATGACACGTGTATTGTTTTAACCAACAGGTGGTAGAGAAACTCATCTGGATGTTACCTGAGGGTCACCAGGTAAAAAGGGAAGTCGACCTGGTGTTGGATCGTCTCTTTGAAACCATGTCACCTATGCACTTTCACCTTCGAGAGGTCATTTTTGTCATCTTTAACAAGGTCAGCAAAAGTTTAAATTCTTAGTATATAAATGGTAAATAGTGAGACAAATTTAAGGTCCTGCTTTATCTACTGTAATACGGGGTGCCAAGTTTATAGTCTTAGTTTATTTATTAAAAAAAAGTTAGACAAATTTAAAGTTAGAGTCCAATTGGATAATTAAATCATGTCGGCACCGTTTTAATAGATAGATTCCTTTATCAAGGTAACTATGACTGAACTGATGTATAATTTATATCACCTTTGAACTTAAGCTGTAAATACCATTAAAACCTACCTTGCCTTGAAATACCTCTTTATACCTAACAAGATTGTTTCAATTAAAACGTCTGTTTCCGCATACTCATGCCCTTTTAATCTTAACTATACTGGTACTATATTATGTAAAATATGCTCGTAATATATTATGTTAACTATGCTGGTACTATATTATGTTAACTATACTGTTGCACTGTTATGTTAACTTAACTGATATTATATCATGTTTACTATACTATTGCTATATTATGTTAACTCTTAACTGTTATACTTTATTATGTTAACTCTACTATACTAACTATACCTCAAATATCCCTACACACATTAGGTAGACTATGTTGAACAGAGTGTATTAACATAACAAAGCCTTGTAATTTGTTGTTGGCCATTGGTGCAGCAAGCTTAGATTAAAAAAAAAAAGAAATATAAAAAAATTATCAAATCTCAAAGATTTTAAATAAAACGTAAAATTTCAAAGATTATTAGAAAGATCGTCACATTTCAAAGATTATAAAATAAATCGTCGTTTCACGTGTTTCCAACACGTTAGGCTAAATCATCAAATTTCACGTTTCCAACACCTTAAGCTAAATCGTCAAAATTCACATGTTTCCAACACCTTAGGCTAAATCGTCAAATTTCACGTGTTTCCAACACCTTAGGCTAAATCGTCAAATTTCACGTGTTTCCAACACCTTAGGCTAAATCGTCCAGTGGAGCCACCCAGAGGTACCTGAACAGGCTGAGCTATGACTACCTGGAGAGGTACCTGTACCTGATACTGTACAACGCCTACCTGCATATGGAGAAAAACGGCCAGTTCCAGAGGACATTCACACAGTGGATGACAGAGGTGAGGTCTGGTTACTGTCAGTGTCAGTGTCAGTGTCAGTGTCAATGTCAATGTCAATGTCAATGTCAATGTCAATGTCGTTGTCACTGTCACTGTCACTGTCACTGTCTCTAGTACAGAGTACATGTGAGGTTTGGTTTCATTGTCATTTTCATTGTCATAGTCGCTAGGACAGAGCGTTCACACATAGTATTACAGAGGTAAGGTCTGGTTAATAAATTCACAAATTACCTATATAAAAATTTTTTTTTCATTTCAACTAAATAAGGCTCTGCGATTCCTTTAATAAATATTTAATAAGTAAATTCCCCATACATTAAATGTGTCACGTTTAATGGGAAGTAACATTGTATAATATTTTGACTGTCTATAGAATTGTTAAATAACGAAACTTGCAGTCGACGACCAAAACTTCCCCACAATTTGAATTGTATGTCACGTGCCCAATCCTGCCCCAACAACTGCAGACAGCTAATGAAAACAATCTCTATCGACAGGTGGCGGCGCCAGCGGGGGTGTTTGAGGTACTAGACAACCTGGGCTTCTTCACCCTCGAGACGGCGCCCTCCGAGTTCAGCCGGCTAAAGAACCGCATCCTGGACCGTCAACAAAAGTTGCCTTTCACCGGGTTGTTTGTCTAGTGCCTGAGGGGATGTTTGTTGCCCGATATTGGGCCACTTTGTTCAGATTGTAATCATGAGAGGGTGTTTGTTGCCCAATGGGCCCCGTTGTTCAGATTGTAATCATGAGAGGGTGTTTGTTGCCCGATATTGGGCCCCGTTGTTCAGACTGAAATCAAAATATTTTCACTTAATCTAGTATTGAAACCCTAATTAGTATTAAACTATGTGCGCGAATCTCCGAGAATTAGAGTCGAGAACTCGTTTTTTAATGCACTTTTTCCATCAATTTCCGAACACATATAGTGAGTTTGGTAAATTGATCTACAACTACACAAGTTATTTATGTTCTTAATTAAATTAAGTTAAGATATAATGCTGCCATTATTCAGTTCATGTTGAAAGTTTCCATTTATCTTAGCGGTTAAAGGATGTTAGGGATGTAGAGCAGAGGTTTAGCCATATAACCACTTGGCTAAGTAGAGGGTTGGCCACATAACCACTTGGCTAAGTAAAGGGTTGGCTACATAAACATTTAGCTAAGTAGAGGGTTGGCTACTTAACCACTTAGCTAAGTAGAGGGTGGGCTACATAACCACTTGACAAAGTAGAGGGTTGGCCACAAAACCACTTGGCTAAGTATAGGGTTGGCCACATAACCACTTGACTAAGTAGAGGGTTGGCCACATAACCACTTGACTAAGTAGAGGGTTGGCTACATAACCACTTGACTAAGTAGAGGGTTGGCCACATAACCACTTGACTAAGTATAGGGTTGGTCACATAACGACTTGGCTAAGTACAGGTTTAGCCACACACCTCGTCAACCAGCTAAGCTAATGAACATTGCTGCACTGTGGTTTATTTATAACAAAGACCCTGTGATAAATGTGATATACAAGCCTAAATGGCCAAATATATACAATGCATAAATCGATTTTATTTTAGACAAAATGGATGTTAGGTAATGCATGTTATAAAATTCAGTTTTCTTCACTAGTTAAAACTTATCTTTGTACTAACTATAAAATATAACACAGATATGTACATACAGTTTTGTGATGTTTTTTTCAATGTTTTTCACTCATGTATGTTTACCTAAACTTTTTGAAACTGTGTTTATTTATTTAAACCAATATTAAAACCCCAGTCAAAGATTCCACGGGAATTACCTCCCTTGATTTTCTTAATACATTCAAATCCCACGCCTTACATACTTGCTAAAATATTTGCTAAACTAAGCTCCAGGCTAACTCGTTGTGGGAGTCACAAAACTCTCGAGTCACGATTGCTGCTGACTCTATAACCGTGCTGTTGTACATTGTTGGACAGGACCTCTTGTGATGGAGAGCACCTCACAATGTGTGGGGATCTACCCAACAAAATGTGGGGATTTACACTGCATGGTGAGGGAATCTACACCACAATGTGAGGGGATTTACATCACAATGTGTGGGGTGTTACATCACAATGTGTGGCGATCTACTCCAAAATGTGCGGGGATCTACCCCCACTCAGTAGTGAGAAAAATAACGTATAGTGAGGACCCCATTTTACATGTAGGCCTATACGTATATTACAATATGTGTTGAACAATGGCATCAGAGGATCCCGCAGTAAATAGAAGGATCCCAATATGTTTTAGATGATCCCAATAGGTTTTGGATCCCGAAATGTGAGGGAAGATCCCGAAATGTGATTGAGGATCCCTATATCTAATATCTAATGTACACGTTGCAAAATATCATCACAAAAAAAAAACATTTAAAGATGTTAAAGAACAATGTTGATCTTTACCCGACTAACACTTAGAGTTAACTTCACTTGAACAAGAACAAAGAGACCAGGAAATGTTAACAAACAAGCTCAACGACAGCTGCTAGTTGGTTTTGTTTTTAAAGTTAATGTCAACACGTATCTATAGCAAACAGTCATAAAATTAGGTTTGTTCCCCTAGATTTACTTTCTGATATTTTTAATTTATTTTTGTGTGCAAATAATCACACGTAATTATTTACTTTTTTTTAAATAATCGGTAATATTGTTATTAGTTGTACTAACCGAGTTATTTAGAGGTCGTCCTTAAATGACGCCACTCTGAAAGTCGAGGAGTGTGGATTTTAGTGAAGACATGGAAAAGGGGATGAGCTAGTTTAGCTTTGCATATATTTTTTTCTAAATAAATTGTAATTAAATCACTAGATCAAATCGTTAACCGTCTACGCTAAAATTATGAAACAGTAGCTAATGATACTTCCTTTAGAGAAAAATTTCAATTGAGGGTGGGGGTGGGGGGGGGGATTTTAACTCAGGAGTGAGGTCCATTTAGTGGATTTGCATGAGTTTTTGTGACGAAGTGTGACAACCCTGAGATGTAGTAAAATTCGCACACACAAAAAGCGAGACAAAATTTAAGGACGACCCCTTTTCAACTATTATTTTATTGTGTCAACCAATTGTTTTAAACGTGCGCCCCGCCTAGAGTTCCAATGTAAACATGCCAGATCAATTTCAACACTTTGTGACCAAATGTTTTTATTTTACTCCCACACATCGTAAAATTTTTCTTAGTCCGACAGCACATATATTTTATTACGACTGAGTATATATTCATGTATGTCAAAATCTGACCCGTCGTCTGCTCAGATTATCACGTGACAAGTGTAGAAGTAATGGTTGAACTCATAGTTAGACTAGACATTGTTTCTATTCAGATTCCTTGTATAGTTATGTAAAGCCACTGTAAAATAAAAACCTATGTATTTTTTACCTTTCATACACCTTGTTTCACATAACAACTTTTTAATTAATTATTTAAATATTGCTTGTTAAACTATAATAGCTGTTTAAATTCTTTGAAAAAAAAATTCTTTATTCTTGTCAATTCTAGAATGATGACTTTCTATTAAACTGGTTTTAATTCGAGAATAGCTGTTCTGTTTCATTTAATTGTCTTTCCCTATTACTTGTTTTGTAATTTTGTTATCATCTTGATCTGATTTGTTTATTAGTGCTTAACGGGTAAAAAGATTAACTTGACTGTATGGAGTATAATATGCTCTCACCTCGAGTAACGAGTAGGTGGACGAGTCACTTGGGTAGACGATCCATATGAGAGTCACTTGGGTAGACGATCCATATGAGAGTCACTTGGGTAGACGATCCATATGAGAGTCACTTGGGTAGACGATCCATATGAGAGTCACTTGGGTAGACCGTCCAGAGTCACTTGGGTAGACCGTCCAGAGTCACTTGGGTAGACCGTCCAGAGTCACTTGGGTAGACCGTCCAGAGTAACTTGGGTAGACCGTCCAGAGTAACTTGGGTAGACGGTCCATAGGAGAGTCACTTGGGTAGACCGTCCATACGAGAGTCACTTGGGTAGAGCGTCCAGAGTCACTTGGGTAGACCGTCCAGAGTCACTTGGGTAGACCGTCCATACGAGAGTCACTTGGGTAGACCGTCCATACGAGAGTCACTTGGGTAGACCGTCCAGAGTCACTTGGGTAGACCGTCCAGAGTAACTTGGGTAGACCGTCCAGAGTCACTTGGGTAGACCGTCCATAGGAGAGTCACTTGGGTAGACCGTCCATACGAGAGTCACTTGGGTAGACCGTCCAGAGTCACTTGGGTAGACGGTCCATAGGAGAGTCACTTGGGTAGACCGTCCATACGAGAGTCACTTGGGTAGAGCGTCCAGAGTCACTTGGGTAGACGGTCCATAGGAGAGTCACTTGGGTAGACCGTCCAGAGTCACTTGGGTAGACCGTCCAGAGTAACTTGGGTAGACCGTCCATACGAGAGTCACTTGGGTAGACCGTCCAGAGTCACTTGGGTAGACCGTCCATACGAGAGTCACTTGGGTAGACCGTCCAGAGTCACTTGGGTAGACCGTCCATACGAGAGTCACTTGGGTAGACCGTCCATACGAGAGTCACTTGGGTAGACCGTCCATACGAGAGTCACTTGGGTAGACCGTCCAGAGTCACTTGGGTAGACCGTCCATACGAGAGTCACTTGGGTAGACCGTCCATACGAGAGTCACTTGGGTAGACCGTCCATACGAAAGTCACTTGGGTAGACCGTCCATACGAAAGTCACTTGGGTAGACCGTCTATACGAGAGTCACTTGGGTAGACCGTCTATACGAGAGTCACTTGGGTAGACCGTCCAGAGTCACTTGGGTAGACCGTCTATACGAGAGTCACTTGGGTAGACCGTCCATACGAGAGTCACTTGGGTAGACCGTCCATTCGCGATTCACTTGGGTAGACCGTCCATACGAAAGTCACTTGGGTAGACCGTCCATACGAAAGTCACTTGGGTAGACCGTCTATACGAGAGTCACTTGGGTAGACTGTCCAGAGTCACTTGGGTAGACCGTCCATACGAGAGTCACTTGGGTAGACCGTCCATACGAGAGTCACTTGGGTAGACCGTCCAGAGTCACTTGGGTAGACGGTCCATAGGAGAGTCACTTGGGTAGACCGTCCATACGAGAGTCACTTGGGTAGACCGTCCAGAGTCACTTGGGTAGACCGTCCAGAGTCACTTGGGTAGACCGTCTATACGAGAGTCACTTGGGTAGACCGTCCATACGAGAGTCACTTGGGTAGACCGTCCAGAGTCACTTGGGTAGACCGTCTATACGAGAGTCACTTGGGTAGACCGTCCATACGAGAGTCACTTGGGTAGACCGTCCAGAGTCACTTGGGTAGACCGTCCATACGAAAGTCACTTGGGTAGACCGTCCAGAGTCACTTGGGTAGACCGTCTATACGAGAGTCACTTGGGTAGACCGTCCATACGAGAGTCACTTGGGTAGACCGTCCATACTAGAGTCACTTGGGTAGAGCGTCCAGAGTCACTTGGGTAGACCGTCCATAGGAAAGTCACTTGGGTAGACCGTCCATACTAGAGTCACTTGGGTAGACCGTCCATACTAGAGTCACTTGGGTAGACCGTCCAGAGTCACTTGGGTAGACCGTCTATACGAGAGTCACTTGGGTAGACCGTCCAGAGTCACTTGGGTAGACCGTCCATAGGAAAGTCACTTGGGTAGACCGTCTATACGAGAGTCACTTGGGTAGACCGTCCAGAGTCACTTGGGTAGACCGTCCATACGAGAGTCACTTGGGTAGACCGTCCAGAGTCACTTGGGTAGACCGTCCATACGAGAGTCACTTGGGTAGACCGTCCATACTAGAGTCACTTGGGTAGACCGTCCATACGAAAGTCACTTGGGTAGACCGTCCATACTAGAGTCACTTGGGTAGACCGTCCATACTAGAGTCACTTGGGTAGACCGTCCAGAGTCACTTGGGTAGACCGTCCATACGAGAGTCACTTGGGTAGACCGTCCATACGAGAGTCACTTGGGTAGACCGTCCAGAGTCACTTGGGTAGACCGTCCATAGGAAAGTCACTTGGGTAGACCGTCTATACGAGAGTCACTTGGGTAGACCGTCCAGAGTCACTTGGGTAGACCGTCCATACGAGAGTCACTTGGGTAGACCGTCCAGAGTCACTTGGGTAGACCGTCCATACGAGAGTCACTTGGGTAGACCGTCCATACTAGAGTCACTTGGGTAGACCGTCCATACGAAAGTCACTTGGGTAGACCGTCCAGAGTCACTTGGGTAGACCGTCCATACGAGAGTCACTTGGGTAGACCGTCCAGAGTCACTTGGGTAGACCGTCCATACGAGAGTCACTTGGGTAGACCGTCCATACTAGAGTCACTTGGGTAGACCGTCTATA